AATCTAGATTCTTCTATTATCTCTTTTATCATCTTTCTCCTAGAAATCCGGTTTTATTCAGGTTACAGCTGCCGTGTGCTACAATCTCATAAGAACCTTCCATCATTTCTTAGTTTTTACTTTTCTCCTATGCTGAGACTTTGACACTGAAGAAAAACGATAAGAATATCCAACTCCTCTTACATTAAGTAATAAAAGTAACACACAAAAATGCAACAAACAATTTTATAACATATTTTGGAGAGGACTTATCAGATGAATGAGGACATGATTAATTTGCTTGAAGGTCAGAAAATCAATAGTTTTTCCAGTAGATTTACTAGGGCAACCTAATCACTTGGCTTCTAGGTTTTATAGCACTTCCCCAGAAAGTGTTGCTTTTTTTTTTTTTTTGCTAGGTTTCCATTCAGCTTTATATTTCCATAGATTATATCTCATGCAAATGAATAATATAATTGTTATATAATAATAAATATAAATATATAAGAATGTATTGCTATATAATTGCCATATATATAATAAATAATACAATTGCTTCTTGTTTTGCCTATCACTACTGAAGAGCCACATGATTTATCTTTTACTTCAGGGCAACAAGAAACTTTATAAGCATTCAGATTACATTAGTCATTTTGTCTAAGGGTCATCTCTGCATACCTTTCAACATCATTTCTAAAAATTTGGTGATATCCAGTAAGGGAGGATAAGGCCTTAAAACTCTTTTTTTGTGCCAAGGCAATTAAGCAATTTGTACAGAAATCCCTAGCAGAGCAGAGGGCTCAGGATCTTGTGAAGTCCAAAGAAGAGAGGTTGACATGCTATTGGCTCCTTTTACTGCCAAAACTACATAAAAATAAATTGGAGGAAAGACAGTTACTAAATAGTAGACAGTAGAAGGCAGGCATGCCTTTACATGATGATGATACTGGAGATAATGAACTAGTTGCATGTCGTAGGGGGCAGTGTCTTTCTCTTGGACAGAACTCTCTCAAATCATTGGCTGGATCACTGCTCATACAGAGGTGGAGAGTAAGTCTTGGGACCTTTTTGTTTTCAGTATATTTCATGCCTCACAACTTTATTACTAGGACTATGAATGTGGATGAGGGATATGTTTGCTTTGTAAACATTTGTAGTTTATAAAATGCAATTACTAACATCTGGTTTAGCTTTATCTCCATAAGCTACTCTTACTGCTTTGTAGGCACACATTCAGTCACTGTGGTGTGGACTCCTTGGGCCCATAGCTGAGTTATCATTGTGGTCAAGGAGTGAGTCTCCTCTCCAGGGTCACCAGTGGCAATATGTGTCACTGAATCATCACTTATACAACTGCTAAACGAACATCTTCCTACTGAACATGTTAAACTCTTCAAAATAATGACATTTAAAATTGGAATGTCTAAATTATAGCAGATCCATTTACAACTGCATGTCAGAACAGTCTTCATTCCTTATTTATAAGGAAAATAAAACAATTGAAACTTGATGTCTACAGATAGTTGACCTAGTATTGTTCTATCTGGGATTTATTACATTATTTTTTCTCCATTGGTCACAAAATGAAAGTATTCACTGATTACACCAAAAGGGTATTTAGCTCCTGTGTGCTTAAAATAATATTGAGACCTGTTCATTGGAATAAAGGAGACACTCCATCGGATAACTTCCTTTCATTGGCCTTATATTCATTGGGAAGGTCTCCTGGCCTCATCACAGGAACTTGTGGATGACACTGCACAACACACATAATAACCCTGTCTGCAGGCAGTGTGTACTGTTAGCACGACAATTAAATAGGTCTTTTTGAGAGATCTACAACATTTCAACAGAAAGATGGAGCCATCCTGCTGGTCTCCAACTGCAAGTTCTTACTAACAGACGTCCCTCAGATTTCATAATTATTGTGCTTATATGGTACAAATGTTTGGGGTGGGGGTGCTTCTTTGGCTTCCAAAAGATCACAGAAACCATCCCAAAATAGCACTGAAGTTTTAAAGTAGAATTTAAAAGTATGATGGAATTTAAATGTAAAGTTTCCACCAGAAAGCACACCTTTGGCTTCCCAAAGTGGATTGGTTTTTGCCAATTGCTCCTCTGAAAACTTGGGAGACACTCTCTGATCCCATCTGGTGTAATATTTTGAGACTTAAATAATGAAGTGAATAATACAGGGTAGGTTTCATCTTTGTTACGTTTTTGTATATATAAAACAGGGAATACGAGGAGAGGAGAAAAGTATATGTTAGAATGTTAACACTTCTGAGTGAGTTTAATTTACAGGGTAATTTCCCATTACTATTATGAGGCTCTTATCCAAGAAAGGTAAAATATTAGAGAATTAAGACTTCCTTGAGGACTTTTATTTCCTTTTCCGCTCACTGGACTTGGTTTGGCCTGTTAGACAATGGGAAAGAGAAGCATGCATGGCAGATCCAGGAAGGGTCTCCTTTGGAGCAAGCCCGGTCGCCTTAACCCAAGGCATCCTCTAGGTAAACAGCTGTCCATTGCAGAAATATCAGTTCCTGCCCTCCCATGTGGCTCTCAAAACAAATCATTACCTTTTAGTCTTTCAGCTTTTCTTATGAACAAAGCCATTTGCTTTCTCACTTCTACAGATGCCTGTCCTAAGTTACATGAGTGGAATCCACTCTTTCCAGTGGAAAAACTTCTGCTTTGCTGTCGTGGACCTTGGAATGTCTTAGTGATAGAGTGAGGGGCAATAAATTTGAGATTTAAAAGAAGGATTTGGTAGAATAATTCATTCGGTGCCTCTAAAGAGTACACAGTCTAGTAGGGCTTACAGATGCATGCATAATTAATTTGAACATGGTGCGACAAAGTGATATGGTGGAAATTTGTGTAAAGATTTTCAACATTGTTAGTCATTAGAAAAATGCAAGTTACAACGTCAATGCCATTGTGATGCCTCTGCACTTCTTAGAATGTCTAAAATGAAAGACTGACTCAGGTACTGTCAAAGATGTGGAAGGACTTCTGCTCTCATGTAGTAATGATAGGTATGTTAAGTGGTACAACCATTTTAGAAACTGTCAGTTTCTTAAAGACACTGTGCTCTTAAATATTTAATCAGGATCAGTGAAATCATACATTCGTGCAAAAGCTTATTCATAAATTGCTCACATAGCTTTTTTTTTTTTTTGTATTTGCCTAAAAGCTAGGACCAATCAAAATGTCAAATGAAGAGATAAAAAAGTGGTACTTAATTATTGGCTATATCCATATAGTAGAATACCACTCCATAAGAGAAAGGATCAAGTATTCATATTTGCAACAATGTGAATAAGTCTTAAAGTAATTGTGATGAGGTAAAGGAGTCAGACAAAAAAATGTAAGAGACTATTAAATACTGAGTTTGCCATCAGTGGGAAGAGAAAAAAGAGGAAGTGTTTTCATTACTTGAAAGATAGAATTGAGAAGGTTTGATAATGAGATGCTGGCAAGAGAGGTGTGTAGACTCTGAGGTCTGTCTCTGGCTTAAGTTTCTCCCTGTGAATCATTACCTATTTGGAGATAACATTTACATGAAATCTGGTGCATAAACATGTAAGAAATGATAAGCACATTGTTTAATGCTGAACTTTGGATTACTCCATGAGCTCTAAGAAGAAATATCCATTAAGGTTTTTTAAAAAATTAAGTTTTATACTTAACTACTTAAATAAAGCAACTTTCATTTTGACTTTTTAATTAATACAAGAAGAGATTTCTACTAAAATGTAGTAATAGAGAAAACAATGAAGAAAGCAACAACAACAAAACTTGTGATTCCTAAAGCCATTGTCATGGATAAGAGGGAACAAGAAGTTGAAGATAAGGAGAGAGGGGACGGAATATGACTGGATAAAAATATAGGCAAAAAATATAGTACATTTATGTAGGAAGGAAGAGACTTTGTGGGTGTCTTGCTTACTTAATCCTCCTGTCACTGAATTGTTGGACTTGTTTAGTTGCTTGATCCAAATTCTCTAATGAAACAAATCTTAGATGAGCTGTTGTTAACTGTTTTCATCACTACCCTGAAGAGACACAGAACTTTGTGAGTGTCTGTTTTCTTAGATATAAAATAGGGATATCAGTTCTTGTTTCTTCTGGTTATTGTATTAATAAAGATGACAAGAAATGACTACAGGAAAGACTTAGCATTGCTTCTAACATATAGTAAGAGGCTCAATAAATTAATTTTGCTTTTTTCCCCTACCCCCTCCCCCCCCTCTCTCCTCCTCCTCCTCCTCTTCCTTCTCCTCCTCTTCCTCCTTCTTATCTTTTTCTTTCCTTCTTTCTCATTATTATTATTAGGCCTCCACCATGTTGCCATTCAGTCATTAGAAAAAGCTTTCGTCTTCTACCCAGTCATTAGAAAACAAGGACATATTTCATTGGTTTTTACCAGGAGTAATCATAAGTCACCTTTTCTTATCTGACTCATTCTCCTAAGTTATTTATTCACATGTACTATTTCATTTATCATTCTTTCATATATTATGAAAAAGACTATGGCTTAGGAGTGATAAAGCAAAAAAAAAAAAAAAATCCAAATCAATGGCTTTGGTCCTACGTGCATTCCAATTTGTTTAGTTTAAGGTCATAATTTAAATTTCTTATATCTTAGCATCTTAAACTAAACAGAAATGAATAATAACAGCCATACAGAGCTATAAGAAATGTCTAAGTAGAAAGCATTCAAGTTTTAATACAAAGTAAATAACTTTAAGAAAGCTAAGTGGGTTGCATAAGTTAGTGTAGTTCTGTAGATGTGACACTAAGGCACTAAAAAACTCAAAACCACATTAAAATTTGTTGATATAGCTAGGTGTAAAAAATAGTCACTTGACTTTCCTATAAAGTATGCTTCTATTACACTTTATTCCATCAAATAGAAAATAGACCCTACTAGTCCAAATCTCTGGTCATGTTAACTTCATGTTAAGTGGTTGAATGCTTTTCATTTCAGCAGGATTTTTCTTGCTGTGTTTCAGGTTTTGGGGATTTGACCCTCCACGACCAGGTGCACCTTCTGGAATGTGCCTGGCTAGAGATCCTGATGATCGGTCTCATCTGGCGCTCTGTGGAGCACCCCGGGAAGCTCCTGTTTGCTCCTAACTTGGTCTTGGACAGGTGAGTGTCCTGTCTATGCCTTGGGAGAAGCACATAATTTTCAATCACTGTTTATCCTCAACTTATTTCATTTTGTACTCCATGAGGCTTCAAAGAGTTGCATTAAGTATAATTGCTTTCTGAATGGGTAAATTCAGATAATAAAACCTGGTCAAGTTCACCAAAAGCTAAGCCTAGCTGTCTGTTACACATCTCTTCAGAGGAACTTTATTATTTCTAATACACACCACACAAGAAACTATAAACTGTAATTTTTCTAACTCTGCCTTTATCTTCTGTTACATTAAAAAATGACCAATAGTCTCCCTTTAATTAAGACACCTTTTTTGGTGCATCTACATCCAGACCACAATAGATTTTTCATTTCCTTCTTCAGTTTTCCCAACAGTAAAATGAAAAATTGGCCAGAGAGTTTTGCAGACTACTTCCAATTCCATGAATTCGTTTGAGTTTTCAAATACATTACCTTCTTTGGTGGAGAAGAAGGCTTGTCTTGAAACGTGGGTCCCACTGTTTTCCTTTCATAGCCATCGCTTAGAGGAATCAGATTTGGATGTTTTACAACAGCAGCTACCACTGATGGCGTTGTCACCAGTACCAGCTGCTATGCTGAGCACTTTGCAGTTATTTTCTCATTTAACTGTCATAGTGCTCTCAGGAGACAGGAACTTGATTGTGCACATTTTACCCAGAAGGAAGCCAAGCTTTAAAGACATCCTACTACTTGCAAGAGGCAGAAACCTAGGTTATGGTGGGGGTAGGATTTGAATTCAGGGTCTTTCTGGCTCTGGTAAACCATTGAATCTTATCCTGGGCACTCCTTCTGTTCTCTTTCCTGTTTCCTCATGCTGTTTGTGGTCTGCTGCTGTAATTTTCTATTCCCAGGTATAGTTCATCTTGCAGGATATACAACGACTTGACGGGAAAGAACCATCTTTCTATTGTTTCTTGCAAACTTATTCTCCATGCCCAGAAGTCTGAAGCTGTCAGGTTGCCTTCAGCACCCTTGTACAGTCTTTGGCTTTGGAGAGCTACTGTCCCTCTCCAGGCCCACTCACTCAGTGTCCCCTGCACCTGCCAAGCCCCCAGAGCAAGGCTGCAGCCAAATTCATTTAAATGCAAAAGAATTGTGCAAGGTGTTGCTTGCTGTTTTGTCACATCACGTTAATTTACCTTTAGAAAAACGATGACACTACTCAAGAAGCAGATTTTACTGTCCATGGAACATATTCTAGTATCACAATTTCACAAACTTGGTAAGAATAGCCTCTTGTCTTGTTCCTTATGCTTGTGCTCACACTCGCCTCTGAAAGTCTTTCTTTCTTTCTTTCTTTCTTTCTTTCTTTGTTTCTTTCTTTGTTTCTTTCTTTCTTTCTTTCTTTCTTTCTTTCTTTCTTTCTTTCTTTCTTTCTTTCCTTCCTTCCTTCCTTCCTTCCTTCCTTCCTTCCTTCCTTCCTATCTTTCTTTCTCTTTCTTGGTACTGGGGATAGAACTCAGGAGCTTAAACTTGCCAGACAGGTGGCAGAACCACTGAGCTAAATCCCCAGCCCTTGTCTGAAAGTCTTTAGAAGGTGTCTTTATGTCTTCAGTGTGCCTTGCCTTCCCTTCCATTTTTTTGTCTTATCATTTTGCCTTTTATGCCTGGCCAGGTTACACAAAATTTGCAGATGAAATTCTTAGGCCATGGATAATATTTTCTGCCTACAGATTGGAATTATCTTCAGTGTTTGGACTTTCACATATTCATTTCTGTCCCCATCCATATCCATCTCCTTAGGTTCACCTTTGTTGAACAGTCATAAAATCATTGCTTTTTAAATATGGAATTATCTCACCCAATGAACTCATTGTCAAAGAGGCGAGAGTGCCTAGGATACTGTCAGCCACCCGATTCTCTTTCTTTTCTACAGACTTGCCTTGTAGTTACTTTTTCTTCATATCTCTCACAGAAATATGAGTAACTAAACACTTTTATCTTTATTCTTATTTTCTAAAAGTCCAGGTGAGGAGTGTCTACTGTTTTGGGATTTTTCAACTTCTGCCCTGTTGACATGCATGGTCAACCTTCCTCGTGGGGACTGTCCTGTACATTTGAGGATGTTTAGCCGTACCCCTGGACTGTATCTGCTAGGCGTTGTCCCCTCTCCGAGTGATGTCAGCCAACGGTGTCTCAGTCATTTCTGAATACTTCTTGTGTGTGTGGCATTGAGTGGGCCATGGCCAAATTTAAGCCAGGTGAAAGCCACTTCTCTAGATAGTCCTACTTCAGTGTCCTACATGTCCTTTCATCTTATTAACCTCCAGACTCAATAAGTCTGTTCTTTTTTCATTTCTTTTCTATCAATAATATCAATACTAAAAAAATATCAATATTCACCTAGATCTTGAAGGTAAAAATTATGCTTAAATAAACAATGGATTCTACCTGCCTCCTCACCAGACTATCCAGTTAACCCTCAAGCTTTTCTCTGACCTCTTTCGGAATCCAGGCCTTCCCTTGTTTCTGTTCCATAGCCCTAGCTTAGGTCCTGGTTGTCTCATCCCCAGATTGCTTGCCTCCCTGACCCTGTATCTTCCCACCTTTCTTTCCACCACAGTGACACAAGGAACTGTTTCCCAGGACACAGGTGTAATCTTAATGCTCTCTGGTTCTGCTTCCACTGGCTTTCTTGGTCCTTTTGAAAGTATGGTATAGGCTTCTTGACAGTTATGGCTGTTACAAGTGTCACAAACAAAATACTGGCAGATGAGAAAATGAATAAGTGGAAATAAAGTTTTAGTAAATAGGGAAGGGAGGAGGGGGTGAAGGGAGGGCAGGGGTAAGGGGAAAAAATGAGAACCAAGACCTGTCATGTAAAGGTACAAGATCCCAGTAATGAATGTAACTGTACTGTCTACCTAGAATGTACCAATAAACTTAATGAGGAAGACAGAAACAAAAGCAAAAACAAAATATTGGCAGAGCCAGTCAGATGATGTAAATGAAGAAGGCTAGTCCATTAGAGTCCAAAAGGGAATGCTCTAGGTGATTTTTCCCAGGCTAAAGACGCCTGGCAGCTGAATTTGACCCAGAGTTTTGAACACAACTTCGCATTCTAAAGTTTTTCTTCCAGTGGTTCTGAAGGACCCTCCAACTTTAGAGTTTGTTAGAAACTTATCCATTCTTTAAGGCTCATTTCAGATGAGGCTTTTCCATAAATCCTTTCTTCAATCTCTCTTCTCCTCAGGTAGGAAGTAGCCTTTGCTCAGTGTAACTTCTCACTGTGTTCAGTTTGTACTTATTCTCCTCAATGTTAGCTGTGCTGTAGGACTTTCCCATCTGCTCATAGACTTCTCATGGTCCAGGGTCAAATCTTGTTTATCTTTTTGCACTGTCCTACAAAGTCTTCCATGATACCCATAATGTTTGCTAATTGCTCTAGTCAAGATCACCCAGGCAGCTTGTGGCAGAATCAGGGGGCAAACACACATCCTCTTATGATCATTTCAGATATTATTGTCATCAAACTCACTCACTTCATGCTCATTGCTACTCATCAGTTTCTGACTTTTTCTTGTATAGATTAGGAAGAAATTAACATCCATCTGTTTTGGAAGGATTTGCTGAATTTGTAAATGCATTTATTTGGCTTGTATTTATACTTCTGCTTATACTGCACAAACCTGTTATCCAGTTATTAAATTCCAAATTGTGTAGGCAAAGAACTTATTTTTCCCATATGAAGTAAAATTCTTAAGATTTTATTATTCAAGAATAATTAATTACGATTAAAGAATATAAATAAATATAAATGCACTTTTAAATATAAATAATATAAAACATGATTTAGAATATTTAAAAATCTGGACTCTTTTAATCATTAACATGTACCAATAGATTATTACATTTCAATTTTATTTAATTACCATCTTAGTGTTTGAGGATAACTGCTTTTGACAACATTGATAGATACATAACAGTAAAAAGTATTGTGACCAGCAGCCCATTTGAAATTTATTCTTATGGAGGATGGCTTTGGACTGGTAGCTGAGAAAAGAACTTAGGGTTCCTCCCTGCATTATTTTCCAAATAATGTTTCTTTGTGATAAAATTCAGCTCTCTGATTAACATAAGTCACTGTGATCTTTCCAGTGCCCCTTTCCCATCACATTGTATAAATTAAACATTTTTAGTAAGAAAATGTAGATAGGTGCCCATTAATTCCAAAACTAGATGGTTGATTGAGAGGGAGAGGCACAAGATGAGTGTTAGGCACTCTTAGAGGTTGTTGTCATTTGCATAGAAATGGGGCAAGGGAGGCCTGAAGTCCTGAGTAACCTTGTATCCTTGTATCCATCCCATCGGTTACCAAAGCTTCTAACAGGAGACAGAATTTTATTCTGAAATCTGATTTAGCAATGTCTCATTTTTCAAATCTTTGCAAATCTATGCATCCATACCTCACAAGGCTGGGAGGACAGACTATGTCCCAGCCTTTCCTTACTCAAATGTTTGTATTGGCAACTGGGGGTGGAGATTGTGGAAATATAAAACTTCCTCGGTTGCCACCCCACATTTGTGAGCAGAGGGCATATTTTCTATCTTGTGTCCCTCTAGAAAGAGTTATTGCTTGATTTACTCCCTGATGACAACTATGAGATCTTGATTCTGGTCCTGTATAACTTCCTGGTAATCAGATGTTGTAGGCTAATTTTATCACTGCTAGGCTTAGCCTGCCCACGATTTCTAGCTCTTTCCTGTACCCTGCAGCGGTGAGATCCAAGCACTTAATGTAGTCATCTCTTCCTGTGAAAACCAAGAAATATAAGTTATAAACAAAGAACCTAGTAATTTCTTCTAGGCTGTGCGTATGTATGTGTGTTTTATAAGAGAAAAGTTAAAGATAACACAAAGGCCTGTGAAAGTAATTGGGAAATGGAGAAAACTCATTTTCCATTCTAGCACCTAATCCTTTGGTGTATTTTGGCAGTAGCAAACACAAAATATGCCTTCTGAGTCT